GTGAGGGAGGGTGCTCGCTGGTCTCTCTTAAAAGGATACTAATCCTGTTGTATCAGGGCCTTAACCTTAATTACCTCCTAATAGGACCTGTCTCCAAATAAATCATACTGGAAATTAGAGTGTCAACCTACTGGATTTCAGAAGGGGGCATTCATAGCACAGTTCAGTTCATAGCACAAAAGGAAGGGGGGGTGGTTGATAGAACATAATTCTAGAGAAAATATCAAAAGAGGACTGTGAACATTGGTTATAGACAGTAATATTCCTCTCTATTGCAGAAGAGGACAAGTTGTGATGAAAGGACATTTTTAGACAAGATAGACATTTTGGGAGTTTGGACTAGATAACCTTGATTTTCTTTGGAATACTGCCATCCCTACCTCCTCTGTCTGCTGCTGTCTACCTTTCAGAGATGTTTAATAGTTACTTGAGATATTCTGTTCAGGATTTTTAGCTGTAATTAGTAGGAAAGACTGGATTGAGTGTGAGTGAGTATTAGTCATTTAGTCGTATCTGACTCTCTGTGACCCCATGGACTGTAGCCCACCAGGCTCCTCTGTCCATGGGATTCTCCAGGCAAGAATATTAGAGTGGGTTGCTATGCCCTTCTCTGGTGGATGGAGAGTACTTGCTCTGTTTTAACTGGAACAAGAGTCCCTCTACGTAATCTTTCATGTTTTATCCAGTCTTTTCCACTAGACTGGATGGTTACTGAGGGTAATGCCTGAGTATCCATAGGTCAACATATCCAATATGGGATCTAGCATGCAATATTTAATATGTGATTTAAAGTTTATGAAAATCCCTCTTCTACTCTGCTTTAATTATTTTTGTTACTATTTTTATTAAAGCACAAGATCATTTATGCTTGTATAGCCTTCCAACCTTTGACAGGAGTTATCATCATGTTTAGATTATACTTTCAGTCTATTTATGGTTGAAACATGCATTTAGTTTTCATTTGGATTCCTACTTGTTTTACAGTGCTGAAACCTTTCTGCTGGAGAAATGTCTTCAGAGTCAGAAAAGGATAAAGAGAGGCTCGTTCAAGCTGCCAAAACATTCTTCTTTTACATGCAAGATCTTGCTTCCTTCACAAATGCACTCATCGAATTGTTCAACAGCACTATGAGCACTCAGATCCTCTTGATGACTGTGAAAGAAGATGGTAATGTGAAGGCTGTCTTTGAACAAATGCTCAAAATTTTTAAGGAGATGCACTCTGTGGTGGCAGCCACGCAGGACCCAATGCAAAGTGAACCTTTAAGTTCCAAGATTGCAACAGCTATGTCCTCTGTGGTTGAGAACAGTAACAATATAAGGGAGTTGCAACAGTCAACCAAAGAAATGTTCAAAAATGCCCAGTCACCTATCATTGCCTCTGTGCTGAATAGTGGTAACATTCTTGAGAGTTTGGAATCTTCTCTTTTACTCTTGATGAAATATCCCATCATGAATCTCCAATTAAGTGACTTCTATAGGAAAGGACAATCAGATGCCACCACATCTGAGAAAAGTCCAGGTCCATCCAAAGCCACTACAATAGATGCCTTGAAAAAGTTGCAGGATGCACTCAACATTGAGAATGTTAAGTATACCATTAAGTCAGCTGCAGATCAAATGGAACAAATTGTCAAAACTATGGGACCAATCTTAGAGGTCCTCCAAAAAGCCATAAAAACTATGGAAACCAAGTTTTCTGTGTTTAAGAAACCCAGGAATTAGTAGGAGTGCAACAGAAGTGTTCATGCTGGTCAGAAAACCAATTCAAACTATGCAAGTTTTCATAGTACTCTCTAAGACCCTCAGTGCCCAACATGTGGTCTACTGGGACATGAATTCAAAGAGAAGTCACCTGGCAAACCATGTACCTCAAGTTTTGCTTTATTCAAATAAAAATAAATAACCAAAGAAATCCTGCTTAAAATGGTGGTTCCTGAAAAGAATATATTGTTCAAAAAAATTCAAGTATGATATTATATTTGAGGATATTTCTAAACATTGTATTTCATCTTAAAGCATAATTGAAATAACCTTCAATTAATTTCTACTCTTAGTAATTCTATTTCTAGTTTCTACAGTGCAAGGTCTAGGTAAATATATATATTATCAATAAATAATATTGTTCAGATGCTAGGAAACAACTTCTCTATTTTTGTCACCCATATACCAATTTCTGTACACTTCAGTGGCTTGCTTATCATACGCCATCACTAAATACCTTCGATATGATTCATCCAGAGGTAAAAAAGAATAGTGAATGAGGAGTAATAGAATTTTCTTGCCTATGTGAATAAGACCAAAGCAGATGAGTCAGTCTTTGTTTCCTACTGAGGTCTTATGATGAGGAGATATTAGAGGTTGAAAAATGAAAGTACTCTAACATTTTACACAGACATACAGACACGCACAGACACACAGACTAACACGTACACACAAAGACCTAACACTTGTTACTTGACCGAAACAGAAGTAAGATTTCTGAGATGTGCTTGGTTGAACTGGGGGGAAAAAGACCGATCCATTTGCCTGCCATAAAGTCTTGGGTTCTCATGAATTGCAAATAAGTGTATGCTCTCAAGATTGCCCTATTTCCCTTTATATCTAATAGGAACTTTGTGAAGCACAAGAAAGGCAATTAAGGGTGCTAATATTTTTTTTTCTTTGTAAGAAGTATGGAATTTACTGTTTATTTTAAAAGCAGTTAATTCTAGTTCTCTTTTGGAATTTTACTTCCTGAGAATACCAGATCTTTCCTCCTTTAAATATTTTCTTGTTTAAAAATCTTAAATCCCATTTTCTCTTTCAAAAAAATAAATGCTTGCTTTTCATCTATATCTCAGAGGAACTAAGCAGCCTGGACTTGCAGAATTCATGGGTATGGAACTAGCTTTCATCTTCACCCCATTTAGCTCAATTAGTAGAGTCTTTAGAGACCTAGTGATTCCCCATCATCCCGCTTATCTTGTCTACTCCCTGAAAGAAGAGTCGGAGAATATTCTTAGCTGGGAAGTTTAATTTGCACTTTTTAAAAACCTAATTGTTTGCACATAATGGGGATTCAATATATCTTTGATATTTGCTGGGTAATTAGATGTTTTACTACTCTATCTTCACACACATATACTTGCATTCTTAGCAAATGTGCTTAAATTTGCAATGAAGGCTTAAAATCCAGTTTGCCATAAAGTCCTCAGTAAATTAACATATGAATTTAAATTCTAACTTTTTAATAATTTAGAAGAAATGTGTGTGCACCACCCCATTACAGGCAGTGAGTAAGATTCCACTGACATCTTTCATTAACTTTCCCTTTTATTTCTTGGGTTTTTGTGTTTTCTCCCATCAGACTGAGACAGGCTGGGACCTGGGATCCTCTGCTACAGTCCTGCAGTACTTAGACTTGGACACAACTCTCTTCGAGCAACAAAATGCAAAGAAACTGTATGGGACTACAAATAACTGTCATGTGTAGGTGGTATAAATTCTGGACCCAAAGGTACAAAGAGACCAAAAACCCAACTGCCACATCTGAAGAGCCCTGAGCAAAAACAGGGTACTGCACAAGCGCCCTGCACACAACATCACCTAAGGAGTGGGCAGAACACCTAAGCCAGCCCTCTGGCCTGACCGGTGGACACACCCCTACTCTCACCCCACACGAGAAACAGGCTTGCCCTTCCGCTCTCTCATGGAGCAAGCAAGCAAGAGAGCCTGTTGTTTGCTCTCAGCTTCCTCCTGCTACAGCAGGGGTCCCAATAAAGTGAAAGTGAAAGTGAAGTCGTGTCTGACTCTTTGGGACCCCATGGACTGTAGCCCACCAGGCTCCTCCGTCCTTGGAATTTTCCAGGCAAGAGTCCTGGGGTGGATTGCCATTTCCTTCTCCAGGGGATCTTCGTGACACAGGGATCAAACCCGGGTCTGCTGCATTGCAGGCAGACACTTTACCGTCTGAGCCGCCAGGGAAGCACAGTAAACCCTTGCCTGAATTTCTGGTCTGGTCTCTAGGCAATTTCTGTTGATTGGGAACGGCCAAGAACCCTGGTTGATAACAAGACTACATTAGCTTGGTCTTGAATGCTGGTAAAATTCTCTAAAAAATAATAAAATTTTTTGAGAGCAGGCGAAAAAATTCTTTAAAGAAAATTCACACATTTAGTATCTCCTTGGGGCTCATCAAATTCTTTGATGAAGAATTTGTCCTTTGCTAACTCAGGTATCTCTGATGTGTTCCTAGTATTTGGGCTCTCCTGGTGGCTCAAACAGTAAAGAATCTGCCTGCAATGCATAAGACCTTGGTTTGATCCCTGGGTTGGCAAGATCCCCTGGAGAAGAGAAAGGCAACCCACTCTAGTATCCTTACCTGAAGAATTCCGTGGAGAGAGGAGCTCACGTATTTCTGATGTGTTCCTAATATTTAGGATTGCTAAATAAAAAATAAAGGAAAGTCTTTGTATTCATCATAAAATTCCTTCAACTGAGACAACACTTAATTCAAATTATTAAGGCAGAAATATAATTTATTGATTTATGTGATGAAAAAGCTCAGGGTATCCAGTTTCAGACAGTTGGATCTAGGTGCACATAGCTTGTCATCAGGATGCACTTTCTTTTCATTTCACCACTCCTCTTTCATTGTGTTAGCTAGGGAGGTAGAGTCTCTCTTTTTGGTGGCAAGAGAGCTGCTAGGGGCTCTAGCTTCATATTCTGCTTTCGCTAATCTCCGCTGAAATAAAAAAGGCCCCTACCCCACTCCCAGCCCTAATTCCAATAAAGTACACTGATTGTATCTCACAGGATCCTAATGAGTCATTTTCTATCCAACGTGACTCCTTGTATCCATGGAGAAGAAATATACTTACAGGCCTACCCATAGGCAATGGACTGAGCCAGTTCTACATCAGCTGATAGCTCGGCAGATTGATTCTCTATGGGTATTCAGGGTGCCCTGACTGGAATAAAGCAAAAGGGTACAGGAGAGGCAAAACCGCAGGCTTCCTTTATGCTCCACTTTTGGAAGAGATGATGACACTTGTCAAAAAGGAGAGAGAAGCAATAACTAGAGGAGTAGGGATGCACTTTCTGCTGGAAGCTGTGAAAACAAACAAAAAGAAGTATTGAAGTTTTAGGTAACAAGAGTTTTTTTCCCCCTAAAAAATCTACTATCTACTTCATTTCTCCTTTGGTTCATGTCTTAAACTTAGAAAATTTGTAACAAAAAATATTTGAAACTACTGTTTTTTAAATGTGTGTAGTCTTTTTTAATAAGATGACTTTTTTTTTCCCCTGGCCCCATCATGTGGCAAGCAGGATCTTAGCTCCCCAACGAAGGGTCAAACCTGCACCCCCTGCACTGGAAGAGCAGTGTTGTAACCATTGGACCACCAGGGAAGGACTGAAACTAGCTACTTTTAAAAAGATGTATTCTCTCTTAGATTTTTCTCAATGACAACACAGGCCACTTATTGTGTAGACGATAAATTAGGTCCCAAGAGGATAAAAGGTATACCTCAGGGTTGATGATAACAGTTGATGGTAGAGCTCTCCCAATTGTACGTCTTTATCATCATTTTCATCACCTTTATCCTCATTTTCATCACCATTATGAAAGCTAACATTGTTTAAAGGCTTATTCTGTTCTGGGATCTTTTTAAGCACTTGCTACAAATTAACTCATTTAATCCACACAACAAAACTATGAGGTATTTATCCTCATTGTCTTCATTTTTTTATCTGATAAAGCTGTGACAGAGATGTGAAGCAACTTGTCACATGCCATGCATCTAGTATGCAGCGGAGGCAGCCATCAAATTTAGGTGGTCAGGTTTGAGCCATATGTATTTAAAAACTTTTATTTATGTAGTTATTTATGGCTGTGCTGGGTCTTTGTTGCTGCATGTGAGCTTTCTCTGACTGCAGCAAGCAGGAGCTATTCTTCACTGTGGTGGTCAAACTTCTCATTGCAGTGTCTTCTCTTGTGGAGCACCGGCTCAGAACACAGGTGCTTCAGTAGTTGTGCATGGGCTTAGTTGCTGGCTGCCTGTGGGGTCTTCCCGGACCAGGGGTCAACTGTTATCCTTTGCACTGCAAGGCAGACTCTCAACTCTGTATTTTTAACCACTGTATGGTCTCTACATATATTGCATGTCCAGTCATTTTTTTTTTAATTATAAGGTGAGCAAAAAGTATTCATACAATCCTGCTTGAGGTATGTGTGTGTGTGTCTGTGTGTGTATACTGCCTACATGGACACACACTTCACGGGAAAGGTTAGCAGACAGTAAGGTGTGGCTGATGGAAGCAATACTTATTATACTAATTGGGAATACAATGGGATGAGAATATTGGATGAGATGGAGGAGGGAAACCTTTAAAATATGCTCTAAATAAAGAATGGAATCTCCTTTTCAGCCAGACTTCACTGATTATTAGTGTAGAAAAGACATTGAGATAGAAAGCCATTCAACTCTGTGATTGCCTCAGTATTTGACCATATTGCTTGATAGGATGACCAGATAATGGAGAAATATTTTTCCACCACTCTCGTGTAACATATAAGATCCCTAGAGTTTCTAGGGATTTCTATTTGGAATTCTACATATACTTACAGTAAATTTCAAAACCCTAATTTTCTTAGACAAACAAATTAAGAATGCAAGCATATTTCTAAGCTTTGGTCAAAGTTTATGTTAAAATTGTACTACCTGGATTCTCAAAGGGACTAGGAGCCAGTAATATCACTTTAGCAGGTCACTCATTAGAATGATTCTTATGTGTTTTCTGTTTTGTTTTCTCTTCATTGAGACTAGAGATCACAAGGACCTCTAACTCCAGCCTTTATCACCTTTCTCATTTTTTCATGGAGTAAGATTCTACTGATGAGTTGTCAGAAAATATTGATTGACAAGAAAACAATGTAACAGTGAAAGATCATGATTTGGGGATGATTAGCTTGGGTAATCAAAGAGCCTCTTGATGAGGGTGAAGGCAGAGAGTGAAAGAGCCAGCTTAACACTAAATGTTAAAAAAATCTAAGATCATGGCATCTGGCCCCATTACTACATGGCAAATAGAAAAGGAAAAAGTGGAAGTAGTGACAGATTTCTTCTTCTTGAGCTCCAAAATCACTGTGGATGGTGACTGCAGCCATGCAATCAGGAGATGATTGCTTCTTGGCAGTAAAGCGATGAAAAACTTAGTGTGTTGAAAAGGAGAGACATTACTCTGCTGACAAAGGTCTGTAGAGTTAAGGCTATCTATGGTCTTCCCAATGATCACATACTGTTGTGAGAGCTGGACCATAAAGAAGGCAGAATGCCAAAGAATTGATACTTTCCAACTGCGGTGCCAGAGAAGACTCCTGACAGTCCCTTGGAGAGCAAGGAGATCAAACCAGTCAATCTTAAGGGAGATGAACCCTGAATATTCACTGGAAGGACTAATGCTGAAGCTGAAGCTCCAGTATTTGGTCATCTGATGAGAACAGATGACTGATGACTCATTGGAAAAGTCCCTGATGCTGGGAAAGATCAAGGGCAGAAGGAAAAGAGGGTGTCAGAGGATAAGACGGCTGGACGGCATCATCAATGCAATGAACATGAACTTGGGCAAACTCTGGTAGATGGTGAGGGACAGGGAGGCCTGGCATGCTGCTGTCCATGGGGTTGCAAAGAGTCAAACCCACCTGGGCAACTGAAAAACAACAACAAAGATTTGGTATTGAAGCTTTACCCTTAGATGCTTGACTTTGATCATTTTTTGTTACTTTCATTGGGACTCAGTTTTCTCATCTGTAAAATGAGTTTTTTACATCCCTGGGTCGGGAAGAGCCCCTGGAGGAAGGCATGGCAGCTCACTGCAGTATTCTTGCCTGGAGAACTCCAAGGACAGAGGAGCCTGGCGGGCTGCAGTCTATAGGGTTGCAAAGAGCTAGAGACTACTGAGGTGATGTAGCACCCAGGCATACAGCTATTAACCAATGCCCAGCTCTCACTGCCTCCATCATCTGTTCTTCCCATCATGCTTTGTGGTCCATCTCCCAGATTCATTCTATTACTTATTCTTCCATCCATTCATTTCAGATGGACACTGTACTTCAAGAAAAGTATGATGTCACAAATTGTGTGAACTACTTTGGGATAATTGAAGCCCAGAGTAAAAGAAAATAGGAAGCAGTAAGTTAATAAAATAAAGATGAAAGTCACTCAGTCGTATGACTCCAGGCCAGAATACTGGAGTGGGTAGCCTTTTCCTTCTCTAGGGGATCTTCCCAACCCAGGGATCAAACTCAGATCTGCCACATTGCAGCATATTCTTTACCTGCTGAGCCACAATGGAAGCCCAAGAATACTGGGGTGGGTAGCCTATCCCTCTCCAGTGGATTTTCCCGACCCAGGAATTGAACCAGGGTCTCCTGTGTTGCAGGCAGATTCTTTACCAACTGAGCTATCAGGGAAGCCATGGTAATGGTAATAGTAACTTATGGTTCTAAGAGCTTTTGCATGCATTAATTCATTTTCTGTTCACCAAGATCTTATAAGGTCGGTTTTATTTTTTTTTTAATTATTCCCCTCTTACATATGAAGGAAATGAGGCACAGAGAGAATAAGCCATTTGCTTGTATTCTCACTGCTAGTAACTGGCAAGATTAACATGTAAACCCACGCTGACTGCAAACAATTGACTATATTTTTTCTAGAAGTGTACTTAAGAATTTTAATTATGTGAAAGATTTTAACAAACCACACTTCTTTGTGAACTCAATGATACAGAACAGAGCATGTATTTGTGTGTCTACAGATTTTTGGCACCAATTGTTTTGCGGAAAGAAGCAACATTTAAGGACAAATACCTAACATAACGTATTTTGGATCTTCCAATGGGCATGAAAACATCTGTTTCTATGGTAATAAGTATAGGTCACATGAGGGGTGGGAGAAGAATCAGAAGAAAAGCTGTTCATTTAGCTTGTCTTTTAACAATTTTTCTTTTGCAAATTTACTTCCTTCAGTGTAGTATGCTACCAATTTGACCTCATGACTCTGAAGGCGACAGATTCTTGGGAACTCTTTGACCCTGAGCACTTCAGTTACAAGTTAATGGAAGCAATTTTGAAATACATTGAAGGACTGAGGAAGCTCTGCTCTTTAATCTACTGTCTCGTCATTGGGAGAAACGCAGTGTCCCAGGCTGACCCATTTTAAAAGCCTTCATGTTGTTTTTCGCATATTGCATCTGGCAGATTAAGAGGGAACTGGAAAAGAAACGTTAAGTCACTAGCTCAAAGGGACTTTTTAGCATATAAAATAATGGGACTTCCCTGGTGGTCCAGTGGTTAAGACTCTGAGCTTCCAGCACAGGGGATCTGGGTTTGATCCCTCGTGGGGAACTAGGATCCCACATGCCACAGGGCACAGCCAAAAAAATAAATAAATAAAAATAATATATAGACTAGTTTGTGGCTTTCTGCTGGTGAAAAAATTGAAAGAATAGAAAACAATCTCCTGAGAGGATTCCAGTTTCACAAGGAATTAGATACTGTGAATTCTCCAGGCTGAGGTTAGTGATTATCCAGGTGATTGGCCAGGAGTAGTGATGTGGACAACACCAGCCATCTAGAAAAACAGGGCTTTAGAGTACACTGACCTTCCTCCCTCTTCCCAGTGAAGGACTCCCAGATAAGAAAAACATACCTTCTCCCTCCTCCCATGTTCATGTTTGCATCAGTCTAATACTGCTCCAGGATGTTGGGATAAGCAGAGTGTCACTTATCAGTTAATAGAAATGACTTCAGAAATTTGAGTACTTCCCTAGTGGCTGAGATGGTAAAGAATCTGCCTGCAACACAGATCTGAGTTTGATCACCGAGTTGGGAAGATCCCCTGGAGAAGGGAATGGCTAGGCTGAACACCCAAGAATCGATGCTTTCACATTGTGGTGCTGGAGAAGGCTGTTTAGAGTCCCTTGGGAAACAAAGAGATCAAACCAGTCAATCCTAAAGGAAATCAACCCTGAATATTCACTGAAGTTCCAATACTTTGGCCACCTGATGTAAAAGGCCAACTCATTGGAAAAGACCCTGATGCTGGGAAAGATTAAAGGCAGGAGGAGAAGGGGGTGACAGAGGATGAGATGGTTGGATGACATCACCAACTCAATGGACATGCATTTGAGCAAACTCCTGGAGATAGTGAAGGACAGGGAAGCCTGGTGTGCTGCAGTCCTTGGGGTTGCAAAGAGTCGGACATGGCTTAGGGACTGAACAAAGAACAACAAGAAATTCTGGTCTTCCCAGGTGGTGCTAGTGGTAAAGAGCCACCTGCCAATGCAGGACAAGGGACACGGGTTCAGTCCCTAAGTTGGGAAGGTCCCCTGGAGAAGCAAAGGCAACTCACTCCAGTATTCTTGCCTGAAGAATTTCATGGGTGGAGAAGCCTGGCAGGCTATAGTCCATGGGACTGTAAAGAGTCGGACATGACTGTGTGACTGAACACACAGCACAGGAAAGATTTCAGAAAGAGCTTTCCCACTAAGGAATAAAAACCTCAAGAAACAAGAACAAAATCAAAAACACTGCAGTGAATAGCTGAAAATATTCTGAAGTCTTTTTTTTTTTTTTTGTATAACCGATAGAGATAGGTGGGTAGCAGCAAAACTGCGTAGTCCCTTACTCACGTTTGACTCTCTGTGACCCCATGGACTGGAGCCCACCAGGCTCCTCTCTCCATGGGATTCTCCAGGCAAGAATACTGGAGCGGGTTGCCATGCGCTCCTCCAGGGGATCTCTCCAATCCAGGGATCCAACCCATGTCTCCTGCAGTGCAGGCTGATTCTTTACCAGTGAAGCTACCAGGGAGGCCCATTAGCAAAGCTACCTATCTCAAATGATGAGAACAAAGCCACAGTATTCCAGGGAGATGCAATTCCAGAGAATCCTGGAACCTGGCTATGGATATTCTTATGTATTATCAAAAGCTCACTATTTTATTCACATTTTACCCTAGTCTCTATAAACATTAATCTTTTGGGTCCGTGGAGCAGAAACACATGCCATCCATTATTGCTATCTTCCCTGCTGCCAAGGAGAGAAGGGTGTGGATGAAAGTCCTAGTAGAGCACTTTTCCCTTGGTCTGTGTTTACAGATAGGCCAGAGTGAGCAGGATCTTGACCTCGGCGGGGATACCAGTTTGAAGACCGTTGCAATGCTGCAGCCTTAACATGTTGAGAAATGCTGATGGGCTGAATTATTCGTAGTAGCCATGATGATGGGGTAGAGGAAGAGTGGGAGATATTTCAAAGGTAGACACTTAGCAGAGTTACGGTTGACTTTGTAAACGAACACACATGTGGATCAGGATGGCTTTCCTCTTTCTGAATCAAACAGGGCACAGCCTTTGCTATATAATTTTCACTGCTTTTGCTCCATCAAATGACTGCGGCTGGCAACATACAAGGATAAAAAGGAATCAGTCACATGTGTTTCTATAAAAGAGCTTAACACATGTTTATATTGTGAAAGCTAATTTCCCCTACTTCAGTTCATTTTTCATGGTATCATCAGTTGTTCTGTTATTTAGTTGCCAGGTTGTGTCTGACTCCTTGCGATCCCGTCGACTGCAGCACACCAGGCCTCCCTGTCCCTCTCCATCTCCCGGAGTTTGCCCAAGTTCATGTCCATTGGGTCGGTGATGCCATCCAACCATCTCATCCTCTGTCTCCCTCTTCTCCTTCTACCTTCAATCTTTCCCAGCATAAGGGCTCTTGCTAAAATACTGATCTGATGGATACTCCACTTCTTACAGACTCTAATGATTTCTCACTGCTTACAGCATGAAGTTTGAAAATCCTTGGCGTGAAATACAAGAGTTTTTACAAACTGGCCCCGTCAGATCTCTCTAGCCCAAATCCACTTCCTACTCCCTTTCTACTCCTGGCTTCCCCCTACATCTTACACTCTGGTTGTCCAGAATTTTGAAATTTACCTGAAGATACCAGATTGTTTGAAATCCCTGAAATTCAGTATATGTTTTTTCTGCTTGAAATGACTTTTTGTCTCATCCTTACTGAAAGCCAATATACATATTTTTGGCCTTTCCCCCATAAGCCCACTTAAAAAAATAACTTTTATAAAAGAATAGTGATACAGAAAACAAATTTATGCTTACCAGGGGGGAAATGGGGGGAAGAGATAAATTGGAAGATTGGGATCGACATATATACAGTGTGTATGTGTATATATGTGTGAGTCAAATCAGTCATGTCCAACTTTTAGCGACCCTACAGACTGTAGCCCGCCAGGCTTTTCTGTCCACAAGGATTCTCCAGACAAGAATATTGGAGTGGGTTGCCGTGCCCTCCTCCAGGGGATCTTTCCAACCCAGGGATCGAACCCAGGTCTCTCATATTGCAGGTGGATTCTTTACCAACTGAGCTACTAGGGAAGCCCCCACATACACATTGCTATATACAAAATGATAACTAATAAGGACCTATTGTTCAGCACAGGGAACTCTACTTAGTACTCTGTAATAACCTTTATGGGAAAAGAATCTGAAAAAGAGTAGATATATGTGTACGTATAACAGATTCACTCTACTGTACATCTGAAACTAACACAACATTATAAATCAACCATACTCCAATAAAACTTTTTTAAAAAAGAAAAAAAATTAAAATTACTTTTTTCACAAGATTTAAAATAAAAATAGTGGCCTGTGATCTAGTAATGTATGTGGTTTAGTCGCTCAGTCCTGTTCAACTCTTTGTAACCTAATGGATTGTAGCCCGCCAGGCTCCTCTGTCCATGGGGCTTTCCCAGGCAAGAATACTGGAGTGGGTTGCCATGCCCCTCTCCAGGGGATCTTCCCAATCTGGGTCTCCCGCACTGCAGGTGGTCTCCTTACCAACTGAGCCACTAGGGAAATCCTGATCTTGGTTACAGTGAATTGAATTTGGATCAATAACAATACCTTTTAGCAGCTGACAGTTGTACATGCTTTGGGTCCCATTTGACAGCAATTGCAACCAATTTCCTCTTGGATGGTAGCTCGCATTGACAATCTTAAACAGCTCATAGGGAGGGACCAAGACCTTCTTGAGAGACAAGTCTTGTAGTGGTGCCCCCAGGCAGGTCAACATGGTAAATAGAGTTTGGTTCTCAAATCTCTGTGCCTGTTCTCTTGCTGGGGAGGTGGAGAGGAACTGGCCAAAGCGAACGATGGCACCCACGGGGGCTTGCAAGTAAACGCCCTTCAACTCATGGTGCACCTCGTAACACAGAGAGTCTTTCCTCGAGATAATCTCTTTCCTCAGCAGCTGGATTGCTGAGGTCAGGAAGTAGTGTAGATATTTGAAATGGAATGAATGTCTATACTGCTGCGGAGACCCAGCAGCAATGGCCATGGCTCTGGAGAAGTCTAAGTGAACTCTGTTGTCTGATAAATAAACCAAGACAGCCACAGCATGTGTAGTAGTCATGTTCCAGGGGAGAGGTTTTTCTTGGTTCAACCAGTTAAAGTGTGTTTGTTTCCAGACCTTGCGGTAATCCTTATTGGATTCTAGTTCTTCGTTGAAATAATCCCCTTGAAGCAGCATCTCCATGACTTGTTGGCTGCAGCCTCGGTACTGATCATCAAAGGAATTTGGTGCCAAGTCGAAGTCGATTTTAACTGCAATCTATAAGGAAAGAATTTCACATGCTAGCAAGGTAATTCTCAAAATCTTTCAGGCTAGGTTTCAACAATACATGAATCAAGAACTTCCAGATGTACAAACTGAATCTAGCAAAGGCAGAGGAATCAGAGGTTAAATTGCCAACATCTGCTGGATGATAGAAAAGCAAGAGAATTCCAGAAAAACATCTACTTCTGCTTCACTGACTGTGCTAAAGCCTTTGACTGTGTGGACCACAACAAACTGGAAAATTCTTAAAGAGATGGGAATACCAGACCACCTTATCTGCCTCCTGAGAAACCTGTGTGCAGATTAAGAAGCAACAGTTAAAACTGGACAAGATCGATCGACTGAACAACAATAAGGAAAGAAGACTCTTGATTATAATTTTTCAAATCAGATGGTGAATCTTGTTGACCTGAAATAAATAGACTGCCAGGTAATTCATTAGCAAAGATAGGTTTATTCAGGATCAGCAATTCAGGGTTTGTAACCATGGCACACCATGTACAGGTCCTCACAGGGTGAGGGGAGAAAAACACTCTCCTAGAGGAGAAACGGAAGATGGGAGGATACAGTAAACAGAGTTCATGGCTTTTCATTGGCCCAGTCCTTGCCAGGAAAGGGGCTTCCCTGATAGCTCAGTTGCTAAAGAATCCGCTTGCAATGCAGGAGACCCTGGTTCGATTCCTGGGTTGGGAAGATCCCCTGGAGAAAGGATAGGCTACCCCACTCCAGTATTCTTGGGCTTCCCTTGTGGCTCAGCTGGTAAAGAATCCTCCTGCAATGTGGAGACCTGGGTTCGATCCCTGGGTTGAGAAGATCCCCTGAAGAAAGGAAAGTCTACCTACTCCAGTATTCTGGCCTGGAGAATTCCATGACTGTATAGTCCATGGGGTCACAAAGAGTCGGACACAACTGAGTGACTTTCACACTCACTTTGCCAGGAAAGAAGAGGTGCTTCTCTTCTTCCTGTTGGGCTCTGCTATCCTGGGAGCAGGGCTTCCCCCAAAGAATCCATCTGCAATGCAGGAGACAATAGAGATGCCGGTTTGATCCCTGGGAAGATACCCTGGAAAAGGAAATGGCAACCCACTCCTGTATTCATGCCTGGGAAATCCCAAAGATGGAAGTGCCTGGTGGGCTACAGTCTAAAGGGTCTCAAAGAATTGGACATGACTAAGCGACTAAGCGCGCACACACACACACAAACACACACACATCCCGGGAGTAAGAGCTCCCCCTTCTGGTCTTCTGACTCTTATTTAATTGAGTTTTCTGGGGTTTTTTTGTTTTTAATTTTTGCAGTGTAGTAGCTGATTTGCTTTATTTGCTATACTCTTTAAGACCAAGTCGTCTCCTCAAAATCGGTATCTGCTGAAATAAGTTTCACTCATAGTCATTACACGGCTCCAGTCCTTCCTGTGTCTGTGACCCATGTTAGATATTGAATTTAGTTTGACAAATATTACTAAAAATACAAACATCCTCATCCCCCACGGAGAAAGTGACTCTTCCGTATCACTGCAAAGTCTTTTGGTACATTGAGTATTTTGAAGAAAAAATAATTATCTTAAAGTTTAATTATACTTTCTGTTTCTTCTGACCCCTTCACATTCTCACATTGATGTTATAGGGAATATTTCTTTTACGAACACTTAAAGACTGTATTAGAAGTCTTTGGGACTTCCCTGGTGTTCCAGTGGTTAAGACTCTGCATCTTCATTGCAGGAAGCACAGTTTGGATCCCTGGTCATGGAACAAAGATCCCTCATGCCATTCATTGCGGCCAAAACAAAAGCAAAACCAAACCAAACCAAAATAACAAAAACTGACTTCAGTGATGGGTATTGTTGAGTTCTCTAAGGGGGCTATGACAACCCTCTCTGCCCAGGACTTGAAATATGAAGGCTAACATACAATTTTTGCTATTGAATGATAACCTGTTGGAATACCCATCTTTAGGTCTGATGGCTGGTGGGCTTGTTAAGGGTAAACCCCAGAATGGGTTGACTTGCCCCCTTAGCTGCAGGCGATATTGGATTGCAGCCTGTCCAGGTGGGATTCTTGTCATGGAGGAACACATAACTCATGCCTTTTGCTGTGGGGCTGTCTCCCAGGAGGAAGAGGAGCAGAGTCAAATGCAGTATAGCCAGTTATTCTTCATGACTCTGCCAGTTGAGTAAATCTGCCCACTTCCAGGGAAGCAGCATGAGGAAAGAGCTGGCCAGAGGTCAGTAGGATTCCTGGGAAAGTCCCTCCTCTTATAAATAGAAACCAGGAGTGGGAGAAAGACACTCTCTCATAGGGAGCCAATAGCATATTACTTATTGATATCTAGTGCATATTAAGCTTACCACAATAAAGTTAGTGGTACATGGGCTTCCCTGGTGGCTCAGATAGTAAAGAGTCTGAACCTGGGGAGATCAGGTTCAACCCCTGGATCAGGAAGATCCTGTGGAAAAGGAAATGGCAGCCCAACTCCAGTATTCTTGCCTGGAAAATTTCATGGGCAAAGGAGCTTGGTGGGCTATATTCCATGAGATCACAGAGACTTGGACATGACTGAGCGACTACTAACACTTTTTCACCTTCAAAATAAATAAATAGAAGTTAGAGATTTGAAGACAAGTTCATTAAGTATCATCCACCCATAACTGAAAGCCATATTTTTCAGTTATCTGAATTCTAAAATGTTTCCCTCTTGGCAAAGAAATGGTGCTTTCTTAATAAACGGAACTTATTAAGGAACAAATTAAGAGATAAAATTCCATCCAGTGAGTGTCAACAGTGCAGCAGCTGAAACTCAGAAACATACCATTGGGTATTTTTGCTATGCTATTTATGGCAAGAGGTCAACTAGTTTGTGTAAATTGAAACAAAATTTTAAGACTGCTTAAATGATTTCAACCAATGACTCTTCACAGCAGGTTAACAAATAGTTCTACAGAATATATCTAAGCCAAAAACAAAATAAAAATACCTTCTGTCACACCTCATACACTCCAAAACTTTAATCTATTCAGTTCAGTTCAGTTCAGTGCAGTCACTCAGTCGTGTCCGACTCTTTGCAACCCCATGAATCGCAGCAAGCCAGGCCTCCCTGTCCATCACCAACTCCCGGAGTTTATTCAAACCTATGCCCATCGAGTCGGTGATGCCATCCAGCCATCTCATCCTCTGTCGTCCCCTTCTCCTCCTGCCCCCAATCCCTCCCAGCATCAGGGCTTTTCCCAATGAGTCAACTCTTCGCATGAGGTGGCCAAAGTATTGGAGTTTCAGCTTCAGCATCAGTCCTTCCAATGAACACCCAGGACTGATCTCCTTCAGGATGGACTGGTTGGATCTCCTTGCAGTCCAAGGGACTCTCAAGAGTCTTCCCCAACACCACGGCTCAAAAGCATCAACTTTTCAGTGCTCAGTTTTCTTCACAGTGCAACTCTCACATTCATACACGACCACTGGAAAAATCATAGCCTTGACCAGACAGACCTTTGCTGGCAAAGTAATGTCTTTGCTTTTTAATATGCTGTCTAGGTTGGTCATAACTTTTCTTTCAAGGAGTAAGTGCCTTTTAATTTCATGGCTGCAATCACCATCTGCAGTGATTTTGGAGCCCAAAAAAATAAAGTCTGACACTGTTTCCACTGTCTCCCCATCTATTTGCCATGAAGTGATGGGATCAGATGCCATGATCTTAGTTTTCTGAATGTTAAACTTTAAGCCAACGTTTTCACTCTCCTCTTTCACTTTCATCAAGAGGCTTTTGAGTTACTAGATATCAAATGGGTATTCTGTTTTCTATTAACATGAGGTCATATAGAACTTTATAATGCTTCTTTTGAGTTGATCTATATGATATGACTAATGTCAGATAGTGAAAGTGAAAGCATTAGTTGTTTAGCTGTGTCTGAGTCTTTGCGACCCCGTGGACTGTAGCTCACCAGGCTTCTCTGTCCGTGGAATTCTCCAGGCAAGAATACTGGAGTACATAGCCATTCCCTTCTCGAGGGGATCTTCCCAACCTAGGGATCGAACCCAGGTCTCCGGCATTGCTGGCGGGATTCTTTACTGTCTGAGCCACCAGGGAAGCCAAAGCCAGAAAGACTTGGTTTATTTTGCATTATTTGTCCTACAGATGCAGTCTTTTATGCAAATTGTATTGAGAGTAAAAAATTAATGCTGAGACTTCCCTGGTGGTTCAGTGCTTAAGACTCCACATTTCCACTGCAGGGGGCACAGGTTCGAACCCTGGTCAGGGAACTAAGATCTTGCATGCCACCAGACACAGCCAAAAAAGACCACCAAAAAATCCAAAACAAAAAATAATGCTATGTCTCTAGCTTGCATGTGTGTATGCTAAGTTGCTTTAGTCATGTCCAACTCTTTGTGAACCTATGGGCCGTAGCCTGCCAAGCTCCTCTGTCCATGCGATTCTCCAGCAAGAATACTGGAGTGGGTTGCCATTCCCTTCTCCAGGGGATCTTCCTGACCCAGGGATCGAACCTGGGTCTCCTGCCTTGCAGGCAGATTCTTTACCGTCTGAGCCACTAGGAAGCCCCTATCCCAAGGAACTAAAGGTCATTTAAAGGTTATCACCAGGAGGATGCTCCAACGGAGCCCTGATCACAAAGAGATCACCTCCTCCACCATAACTCACCGTGGGTCTCTGCAGAGCAGAGCAGAGCAGCAGGAGAAGAAGCTGTCCCCTCACCAGCCAGATTCTCACCGCAGGGGCTGCAGTATTTGCTAGAAGAATCCTTCTGCAACGATTGGTCAAGGGACAGCATTTGTTTGTGTGCAGAGTGCTTCTTTGCCCTCCCAGCTCCATTCTGAAATCAGCTTTCAGGATGCCCCTTTGAGGTTTTTCTCTTGCAGTAAGTCTCAGCAAGAACTCTCCTCTCCCATGTGTATCTCGAGACTTCTGTTGACCACCACCAACTAGCAGTTTTCCCGAGGGAAGAATTCAACTCACTCGTAAAGCTGGAACCGCTGTTGAACAGCCAGACTTGCGCACCAAATAAGGGATTCTAAAGTGAACTCAAGTTAGTGCCCAATTAAAAAAAAAATCCTGGTCTTGTTTGTATGTGGGGAAATTCCAAAGGCTTATTCAGGGTCAGGTTCACCAGCTCAACCTTAAACTTCCTTAGCAAAGCAGGACAAGGCATGCCCCATACGATGTTTGGGGTCAAACAGTATTATCTAGAGCTGCAACCTCTCATTGTGAGTGATACGATTGGCTGGTGAAGGTCCTTGGGAGCATGCCACCAAAAGGTGGGTCTGTGTTGGGTTCATCTGGCACTGCTGATAGACCCCACCCAGGAGGGGCTGCCAGGAAGCAGAACAGTAGGGATATTGTCAAAACAAAGCCTGTCTTTGACTCACAAACTTAAGAGAACAAATTTATGGTTGCCAGGAGTGGGGGATGGGGGGGGTGGAGTTAGGGGGTTTGGGATGGACATGTCCACACAGCTACATTTAAAATAGATAACCAAAAAGAACCTACTGTATAACATAGGGAACTCTGCTCAATGTTAATGGCAGCCTGGATGGGAGGGGAATTTGGGGGAGAATGGATCCATGTATGTGTATGATTGAGTCCCTTTGTTGTTCACCTGAAACTGTCACAACATGGTTAAGTGGCTATACCCCAATACAAAATAAAAAGTTTAAAAAACACAATATCTGCAAAGTGCAAAAAAACCAGGCTTCTCTTTGTTGCTTTTCCACTGCACACTTGAAATTGGCCACTCTAGAAATTATACCTGTTGGGGGTCACAGATCGTCTATGTTTTTCTCTCCTAAAGGCATCAGATCCTCAATCCACGCTATTTCAGTCTGTAGTGAATCCAAATGACTACTCTTAGAAAAGGAGCTGACAGTATTCAATAACATGGATCAAGAAGAGGTTGCAGGGTGCTAAGTGCATTCAGCACAAGTGTCCTATGAAACTTTCTCTTTTAGTCACTTCCTTTTCTAGTCTGAACACCCTTCCCTTGTTCTCAGTCTTTGGGGTAATTGTTTTTCATGTGATTCTTTCCCAAACTTACACTTTCTGATTCATATTTAACTGTAAAAGGAAATGAGATCTTGTTGTTGGAAATTCTGATTTTTTTTTCAGCAACTTAAAATATTTTTAAGTTGAAACTTCTGATAATATCACAGCAGTTATGCGTCATCACCAAAGTTCAGAGTATCTAGAAAAGTATGTCAGGTTGGTTTATTTCTCTCTCAGTTCTTGTCTCAACACATCAAAAGTTTGGAACAACAAACTAAGCAGTTTAAAACAACAGACAAGTTATAGCTCAGTTACAGCCCAAGAAGATAAATCTTTTATTAAACAGGCATTCCCAAGACATAGAACAAGGTTAACCCCAAAGGCGCCATGGTAATAATCCCCCTTTTTATACTTCTCATCTTCTCCCTTTGGCTGTGCCCTGTGCAAAATATGGCTTGCACCCACCACCAATCACAAAAGGGGATGAAAATTGGCATGTGCTCAAGGCTGATTGACAACTGCAAGTTATATAGCAATAGGCTCCTATATGTTTTCCCATAGTTCAATCTGTTATAATCAGAGGTACATATATGTAGAATATTTATGAACCCTTAATGGGCTCCTAGCTCCCTAAGGTTACTTGAGGAAACAGCTGAACATCAAGGGCTCTTGTGCTAGAGCTGGAGAGGTCCCTGTGTTTAGTTTGTATCCACCGAGTGCCTAGAATGCATATGCAGAAACTGGAAAACTCTCTGTGGTTATTTTTGTAGCATATCTGTGAGCTCTCCTGGCTGTGTCTGGGATGGCGATTAGAGATCAGCTTGCGTCCTTTACAGCTAGGCCACCCCTTGTTGCTCATGCCTAATTTTCTACCCAACAAGTATAAAGGAGGAAACAAAATTACCCATAAGCCATCATCTGAAAAAAGGTAGTATTTTGATTTAGATTTTAGTTTTACACACACACACATTCTAGGACTGAAATAAAAGTGTGCAATTTTGCATGCTGACTTTTTCCCTTAATTTTTTTCTTCTACATATTAGGTTTTTTTTTAATGAAGTATAGTTGATTTCCCTTAATGTTTTAATGTCAGCATGCCTTCATATAACTTAATACTTATTGAAAGCATGATTTTTTTTTTCACGGCTATACAAGCTATACAATATTCTGCTATCTGTGCTACCATGCAATGAAATATGGGGTGGCTCCAGGGACCATACTGTCACAAAAGCAGATTGGTGAATAGGAAGGACATGGACTCTTGAGAAAGACATGTCAGTTCAATTCCTGGCTCTCCTATTCAAACTTTGACATCGTGCAATGGGGTTAACGTCCTTGTTCCCCAGTTTCCTCAGTTGTTAAGTGGAGAAAGGAATAGTGCTTACAGGGACTTCCCTGGGTGTTTGGTGGTTCTGACTCCTGCTTCCCCTGTAGGAGGTGCAGGTTCGATCCTTGGCCAGGGAAGTAAAATCCCTTATGTCAAGAAGTGCAGCCAAAAAACAAACAAAAACAAGTAATAATAGTACTTACCTCTCTGAATGCTTTGATACATTTGTAACCCTTTAACAGAAGTTGACCCTGAGAAATTGTTTAATAAAATTATCGTTTGTACCCAACACATCCTTATTTGTACCAAAATTTATTGGATAAATGTGTTAAACTTAGCCTGTTTTCAACTTTGAATTATTATAAACAGTGACTTGTGAAAATGTTTTGGACACAAATTTTTGTGTGCTTTTCATCTTGCAATTTTTGAGACACAATTTAGAGATGTGCAGAGTTTTGGACTTCATTGAAAATGCAATGTGCATAGTTTTGGCCTTCACTGGAAACATGAGTAGTGCATGAAAATATCCCTTTAAGATTTTAATTTTAATTCTTAAGATTCTTAACTGTTAACTTGAGATACTGAAGTTTTATGAAGAGAACTAAAATTAGAGTCTGAAAACTTGGGTTATGGGTCTGGTTCTACAGTTTGATAGCTGAGTTAACTTTAAAAAACCCTGTAATCTGTGCTGAGCTTCAATTTCCTTAACCTTACAGTTGTTCAGTCACTCAGTTATGTCTGACTCTTTGAGACCCCATGGACTGCTGCATGCCAGGCTTCCCTGTCTGTCACCAACTCCCAGAGTTTGCTCAAACTCATGTCCATTGAGTCGGTGATGCCATCCAACCATCTCACCCTCTGTCACCCCCTTCTTCTCCTGTCTTCAATCTTTCCCAGCGTCAGGGTCTTTTCCAACAATTTAGTTCTTTGCATCAGGTGGTCAAAGTATTGGAACTTCAGCATCAGTCCTGCCAATGAATATTCAAGGTTGATTTCCTTTAGGATTGACTGGTTTGATCTCTTTGCTGTCTAAGGGGCTCTCAAGAGTCTTCTCCAGCACCACAGTTCAAAAGCATCGATTATTTGGTATTCAGCCTTCTTTATGATACAACTCTCACATCCGTATATGACTACTAAAAAATCATAACTTTGACTAGGTGGACCTTTGTCAGTAAAGTGATGTGTTAGCTTTTTAATATGTTGTCTAGGATTGTCATACCTTTTCTTCTAAGGAGAAAGTGTGTTTTAATTTCAAGCTGCAGTCACCATGCGTGGTGATTACCTAGTGGACAAAAACAAATAATATAATAATTACCATTCTGGAGAGTGTACTGTGCTTCAGTAACTTTTACTTTGTTCTCGCCACCCACAATAAGACTATTAGGGAGAGATATTTTAGCCTCCATTTTCTGGGTGCATTTGCTGAAACTCTGAGGGTAAATAACTTGTCAGCGATCACTGGGGATTTCCTTATTTCCATGGCCCACTGCCTCCAAAAATTCTAATGGACTGCGTCATTTTTTTTGGTCATGGCATGCAGCTTGTAGGATTTTAGTTCCCTGACCAGGGATTGAACCCAGACCTTGGCAGTGAAAGTGCGGCGTCCTAACCACAGGACGGCCTGGGAGCTCCCCTCTGTCATTTTATTATTGCCTATAAAGGTCTTGCCGATTTTTCTAATGGGACTGTCACTTCCCAAATAAGACCACCAGGCGGCAGCAGAAACCTTTGTAACCTATTCAGTTCAGTCTCTCAGTGGAGTCTGACTCTTTGCAACCCCATGGACTACAGCCCTGGCGTCCCTGTCCATCACCAACTCCCAGAGCTTGCTCAAACTTATGTTCATCGAGTGGGTGATGCCATCAAAGCCATCTCATCCTCTGTTGTCCCCTTCTCTTCCAGTGTTCAATTTTTCCCAGCATCAAGGTTTTTTCCAGTGAGTCGGTTCTTCACATCGGGTGGCCTAAGTATTGGAGCTTCAGCTTCAGCATCAGTCCTTCCAACGAATATTCAGGACTGATTTCCTTTCAGATTGACTGGTTTGATCTCCTTGCAGTCCAAGGATTAAAAGTGTAACCTTTTAATACAACTGAAATTTAAAGCTGGGGGAGAAGAAGAAGGGGAGCGGGGAGGAAGGAGAAACAGTGAGACAGAAACAGAAAAGAGACTGAGACAGAAGAAGGGAAAGAGAGAAGGAAGCAAGGGGACATCAGCAATCGTATCTGGGGTAAGGCCGCAGATCTGGGGTGTGTGTGTGTGCATTCAAAGAAATTTGCTTGCCTGCACAGAGTCATAGTTGTGGCCTACAGGATCTAGTTCCTTGACCAGGGATTGAACCTGGGGCCCCCTCCCTTGGGAGTTTGGAGTCTTAACCACTAAACCATCAGGGACAGATGTTCTGAGTGTGTGTGCATTTTATTAAAATAAAAAGTTTTCTGATGCTATTTAGAGTCATTGTAAAAAAAACAATCTTTTGCTCGAGGGTTATTTTATTAAATTTCCCATG